ATCAAGTCTTCGAAACGTAAGTACAGCCGTTTTCGTTTTCGTAAAGTTCTTTCTATGGGCTACACAGCGTTTCACTTTTGCCTACATCTCTTCAGTTCCACCTTCTTCTGCTATTTATTCACACACCCCACAGTTGTTATTCTAACAAGTAACACCAGTTCAGGGTTATACAAAGCTTTATTGACCTGTACCAGTACGTTATTTTTACATAATTTTTGTATTTAGCCCCAGCTCCTTCTATAGACAGAAGCACGAAACCCCCACTGGATCGTCCTGCTCCACCGTTTGAAAGAGAAAGCCCAGTATCAGGTCAGCATTTGCTTATGGTAATACCCATAGCTGTTTATTGCTCAAAATTATCAGTGTGAATATCATCCACGCAAAAGAACAAGGCTACCCAAATGTGCTATAATCCAATCACAAACAAGGTGATTATTCAGGAAAGGCAATGTGAGCAATGCTTGCAGAATGAGGGAAATTCTATCTGGAAAGCAGTAACCCTGAAAATGACTCAGAATTAGTTGAAGAGAAAGAGATTATGAGATCCCTGTATGAAAAGGTTTAATATAATATTTAAGTGAATGAACAAAGGAATACGTAGTAGGTTAAAAGAGGAAATAATTATTTTTGCCTACAGAGTTCATGGAAGACTGTTTAGACTAATATATATAATTCGGTATCCACACTTAAAAGAATGCTGAGAACCGAAAAAAAACAGAAACAAAAATGATATTTGTTTCAGACCAGAAAACCACATTTTACAATGAATCTCAATAGATTATCCTATGATTTTTTGAAATATCTAAACCCTTTTATGTAGTGCATAATGGCATAAGTGTATCCAGTAATTCGAAGTTGAAGGGTGGAAAATATGATTGTAAAATATGCCACTTTAAAAACTCTTTGATTAATTTTTCTGATGCTTTGCTATGAGAAATGGCAATTTTTTCACTCTTTGTAAAGCCAAAATCTGTTTTTCTGGCTTACATCTCAGGAGACTGAATGCTTCAAACCGAAAATTTCACTTTTAATGGTATTTAAAACTTGTCTGTTTTATGGAAAGTTTAACTAATTATCTTAAGCTTTATTTTTTTTCTAATTATATGCCTTTACTATTTTTAGGAAGGAAGCCAGGCCTTCCTGAAAAGGTATGAACTTCCTTGTTTGGTGCTTCTAGATACTTGTTGTTTTTTTTTTTTTGAAATCTATTTTGATACATGTATGCATTCTCTTGACTTTTCCTTATTACTTTACAGCCTCTGACTCCACAGCTAAGGTAAGAATTTTGCCTCCTGAAAAGACACTCTCAATAGCAATATTATCCAGTTATTTCCTATTAAGCTGCCTTTTACCTTTATTTCATCATCTTACTCTTGCTTTAGATCCCTGGGGGAACAGCTAGCAATGATGCCAAAACCTCCTGTCCCACCAAGTGATAGATATGAAAGAGGCAATCCATCTCCCTTAAGGAAGCCACATCCTGTAAAGTAAGTGCTTAAATTAGAGTTCATTTAAGTGAAATTTAATGAAAATCTAAATTAAAGTCAACAAAAGTATGGATGAGCAGCATCGAATAGTATAATTTAACCCCACTGCATGATAGTAGTGTCTGCAGAAATCAAAGTTTTGCTTCAGCAATATTCACGGGATGGCTGTAAGTTTATTTAAAAAAAAAAAAAAAAAAAAAGGAAACGCGGAAAAAGCTCTCTCTCCCGCCATATCTATACAAGCAAGCATTAGGTAGGGCATGGCTCATTTCCAAGTTACAGAAAGAGATATACAATCCACAGTTTTTTGACGAGATCAAGTTCTTGCTCTAGAGAATATTCTTTCATGAATCCTATTGCCATTTTTTGTAGGATGTTAGAGAGAGAAAGCTTTAATATTGATTTTTACTAGCCGGCAAAACTCAGTGTTAACAGCAAACAGCATTCTCTAGCATAACTAGATAACTTGTGGGCTGAACAGTTTGACTGATTTTAAAACAAAATATAAGAAAGTAATTGAGATCTTCTAATCAGCCAAGATAATTTATCAGAAAAAAATGCTAGAAGGCTCATCACGTGCTCCAGCACGGTTGCTAAGTACCATAAACTAGTTTAAGACTTGAGGTCTAATGTTTTATCAGTATCGACACTTTTTTTAAGCTCCAGTCTTATGAGAAAGTCATCAGACATTTTACTTGTTCACAGGATCAAGATGGGCTGAAGGCTGGTATGCAGTGTTAGATTATGGCCAAAAAATCATAATCTTTGACATTTTTATGAGGAGAAAAAGAATTGTTTCTGCATTCCTATAGGACTGTAAAACCTACCACAAACTCACATCTTCATTGAAAATATTGCCTAATGAAGACCAAGTGAATGAATAACATTCCATCTACAATTCATGTACTGTTTTCTCTGTTTCATTTTAGGCAGGGTTGGCCACCACAAAAAAAAACGGAGGTAAGTATATTTTTGAAAGCAAGTATGTATATGAATAGGCACTACCATAAAATCAAGTATTTGCATAAACTAACAGTTGTAGAAGAGGTAAACTAGTTTCTTTTATCAGTTATAATGAATACAGACAGATTTTTCATAGCACATTATTTCTTTTTAATCAGTTCCTCTAGATCAAGCTCAATTTATTCCCCAGTTACTTTATTTTAGATAGTAGGGAGAATAAGGCCAACGTTTTTATGACATAGGAGAGGTGATTTTGCTTACAGCAGGTTTTCTTTTTTTAGTTGAAGCTGACCTAATAAATTCATTTTTAGATAACTCTGAGAACATACACTTAACTTAAGGAATGTGGGAAGTTTACATCTGCTGAGAGTTTCTAAATACTTTGGGTCAAATCCCAGTAGTAGACATCTACCTCACCACTAATTTGTAAATAATGGCTGCACCTCATCACAAGAACTTGAAAAATTATTTGATGTTTCATGAAGATAGAAACTGCGGCATTTTAGATGAAAGTCTAAAATTTTGAGTCTTGCACACTCAAAATTCACTGATTTTTAGGTTTTAGGAATACTTGTCTTTTACAAAACTAAAAACTGTGCTACAGTAAGTTGCTAATGTTTGTTTTTTCTTGCCTCCCCAGGAAGAAGAAGAGAGTAAGTGTTTTCTGCAGTGACTTTCAAAACTTAAAATCTTTGTTTGTCTAAATACTTAAAAAAAAAAAAAAAAAGACATAGATGCAGTATTCTTTCTTTAGAGCCATTTTAAAAAGTCAGGTGATACTTTGCCAGGCTGTAGAAAGCCTACAACATTCCTTCCGCAGATATATATAACAAAGCCACAAAACAGAAGAAATCAATAGCTAATAGTGTCTTCCAGTCAGCCAGTTACAACACAGCAAGATTTCTTGTTTTGAAATGCATTATACTGTGCAAACTTGTATTCTGTACACAACATCAAATAGCTAGGCATATAAACCTGGTGTCCGCCCAGTTTTCAACAAAACATTCAGTCAAGCCCTGCTTGTACTAGTCTTCTGTGTAACGGTATTCACACTAAGGAAGAGAGGCAGAATTTGTTTCATGTAATAATAGCATTTATGAATTACTTCACGACCCTGGTTCCAAAAATAAAGCTCCTAATGTGACTTCATAACAAGAGCTGAGCATTTGAGCCACGTCTCTGCAATTTATTACTGTCTCTAAGACTCCACAAAAAATAGGACTACTTAAACTGTGCAGAGTGCAGTTAACCTCTTCCACTCTTACCAGTAGTTCAGGTCTGAAGTCACTGCTAAAAGAAAATATATTTTACTTATAGGCTGTTGTTTATGATGATATGGGAGAAAACTCAAAAAGGAATGAAATTCAAGAAGGTAACCTCAAATTCACTATTTGCAAGCACCGTAAAAGAGAGAACACAAAAAAGAAAGCCACAACAGGCTTTACTGCTGTTAGGTATCTGAGTTGTAGCTTATTCAGAACAGAATTTACAAAATGTAAAGGTTGCTCAAACCTGTTTTCGTTTATTTTTAATTTTATACTTAAAGTTCTCAGCTGATCCTATGAGGTTACATTCCATAAATAACATATCCAGGAGTTTTTAAATAACAGTTTACTCAATTACATCTATCTAATTAAACCACGATAGTATGATAGCATTTCTTCATTCTACCTCATTTAAGAACGTTTCATAAGTTTTAAGTCGTCTTCTCTTCCTCTCCACAGCTGCACCCCAAAGACCAGTGCCACAGCTATCTTTGCCCCCGTACAGCTCCAATACATTCCCTTCAAGATCTGTCAAGCCTCCACCTAAGCCAGGATTCAACAGTATGCCTGGAGCAGAAAGGTTTGTTTCAGCCATTAATGTGTCATTCATTTTGAATCTAACTCTGACTCTGAATTAACTTGTTATTTAGCAAATAATAGTATATATGAGGTTACAGGGTGCTCAGGGGAACAGAGGGTTTCTACTTTAGGAAGTCTATTACTTTTAAAGCTAGATCCTTTCCCCCACTACACTTCATGCTGATTTGTGTCGTTCCCACTATCAAGGAGAATCCTTAATATAACTGAAGCTCTGTATTCAGAGAACCAGATAATGTAAGTTAGGCAACCCCGAAAAATGCACCTCTCAGTTTTATGACAAGGAAGTATTTTAGGGTCTAAATGGTAGAATACTTCCATTTTTAAGACATCACCTTCTCCCATCTTTTGTCTGCAGGGTCCATTAGAATGGCAAGTTCTTTTGGGAAGGGACCATCTTTTCCTACAAATTTATGCAGCATGTATATCAAAGAGATTCCGACTTAAAAGTCTGCACACTGTAGAGGATTAAGTGCTACAGCTGTGACTGACGATTCCCTCAGAACTTACAAAAACACATGCCTTTGTCGTCTACAGTTGACCATCTGAATGAATTTTACCACGGTTTTAGTAAATTATCCTAATGGTTAATGATTCCTATTTTAAATTGTGAACTTGGTTTCACATATGAATTTTTTTAGCTTCAACTTCCAAGTATTAGATTGCTATGTCTTCGTTTGCTAAACTGAAGAGCTCTTAAATAAATTTTGATTCCTGATGTAGTGTGTAACACACCTTAGTCTTTGATGAGTTAGAGTGGGCTCCCTGAGTCTACGAATAAGGTACATTTTTTAATCTCTGCATTTTTAAATTGTTCTTTGATGAACCCCTCCCATTTACCAACATCCTCTGGAAGTGATGACACCCAAGTAGCAATAACACTGCAGTAGCAATAGCAAGGTCATATGCAAATACGTAACTATCCCTATGAGGCGCACTTCTAATTACACTCAAACATCACTGCACATTTTGCTCTAGCATTTGAAGCGCACATTTGGCTTATTCGCTCCCACGAATCACAAGGCATGACAGGGTGCCCACGTTCTGCAAGTATAATCAACATACTGATACAAGAGCTTTCTGTACCGATCATTTAAGCAGAGGAGAAATATGGAAAAGAGTACGGGCCATTTGTTCTCAATTAGGTGAAGACATTCTCAAAAGAAAAAAAAGATAAAAGAATCGAAGATTGGGACTCTTCAGTTTGGGAAGCTCTGGGTTTGGGCTCTGAGATCAGGCCATAAAAAGAGAAAGGAATGTAGATTTTCTAACAAAAAGGAGAAAAATGAAGCACCACAGGGAAAGTAAACCATATACAGGCACATGGAAGCGTTATGATGCTGTAGGCATGAGCTCTGTGCCACTGCCAGCTCATAATTGAACATTTATGGTTAGAAGCTGCATTTTCATTACCAGTGTTAAAGAAGGCACATGGAAAGTGAATATGTAATTGGAACTCTAAGTGGAACTCCATCTGGCAAGCTGCTCCTTGTGCTTCCTGCTTTAGGAGAATAATGCAGCCAATCCCTGTGGGAAGGCAACAAGCTTAAGTAGTTTCCTCTATTAATCCCGACAGAGTTACTGGTGACCCATTACTGATTCCCTCTACCTTATTCCCAGATACTGAGCTTGAAGAATACTTAATATTGGATCTACTTACCATGTAAATCTCAAAAATCATTGGCCTGAAAAAGATCTAACACTCTACAGAACAGACACAAAGTCCAGATCAGTTATTCAGACTATAAACGCCTTGTATAGCAACACTGTATTATGTATACTGACTGCCACTTTTTCTTTTTCTTTTTTTTTTTTTTAAACAGTGCTAGCAGCCTGTCTTCAAGTGGCTCACTACCACCACGCTTCCAACTAGGTTTGTATCCCTTTTACATATAAACCATAACTGAAAGTTGAAAGGCAATTTCAGTGCAGTTAATACAACCTCTTCTTCTATGGATGCTTCTGGTTGGACTGTGAACAGAAAACTATCAAGAGATCTTGAAAGGCATCTTGCTTAATTTGCTTAGCCTGAATTTAATGTTTTTCTGGGCTTATTGCTTAGCTAAACTATGGCCAAAACCTCATTTAAGTGCCTTTTTCAATTTAGCTGTGACTACTGACAGCTGAGTAACACTACTTGCAAATCCCTACAGTATACTAATACTCTCAACAAAGGGGAGAACATTTCCCATGTGAAATTCAGTATCTTAGTTGCATATATATCTTTTAATAATACGTTAAAAAGAAAGCAAGCTTAGAAATCTTTTTGCTTTGCAAAGAGAAGTTTTTCATTTGGTCACAGCTGCCAGTGTCCTACAGTGACGGTTTTTAGTTTCTACTCGCTAAGAAGGCAAGGAATGCAAAGAGACAATGTTACTTTTAACTATTTTTAGAGTAACTGGAGATGCTCTCTGCAGAATAATTGTGGTACAGAAATTGAAAAGATATAACCTCTATTTCAAATTCATAAGATTTTAAGGTACCCTGAACCACAGCAGTTCCGTTAAAGTCCCTGTGCACCAAGGATGAATTTATGTAAGAAACCTAATTATCACACATTAGCCTAGACTTAACTTGCAAGTAAATTCAAACTTTCTCAGTATCAGACTGCCATAAATTGTTCATGTCTCTCAGAATCAAGATTCTATGTTGTATACTAGTATCTGATCCACAGATGAAATTATTTCCTGCTTTCGATATTTTCCTATTTTTATAATATATTTTTAAAGGCAACAACCACAGATCTCCTTCAAGAGGCACAGCAGATCTACGGCCTCCATTGCCAATTCCTAGCAGACAGACTGTTCACCCACCAACCACAGAGAAGGACGAGGTACAAAGATATCACAAGTATTAACCATAAATCCTACGCACAGCAAATATTCTGATTTTGAGAGAGAACTTTTTCAGAGGTGTGTTTCTAGTTAGTAGCCATTGTCAGGATGTTGGTATTTGCTTTTAGTTTCCTTTTCTACGTCAAACTTCAGTGCCTTATTTTGGTCTTTACCAAGAAAAAACCCAAAAACCCAGTAGAACTAAGTACAAGAAGTGTTTGCTTGCTGGATTACTTATTTTGCACACTTGTCTTCAGATATTAAAAATTCAGTTCTCCTTCCACAAAAAACTTGTTGAGTAAAAGATTCAGACTCCTTAAGTGCAGTCCAATTTCACATTTCTTTAAATAAGGCAAGTTTAGAGCAAACCACTCCTAGTGATGGCATGTATGGCTGCCTGAGGCTGGTGTGTACATAGGAAGTCTGCATTATTGTCTCAGTGATAATTTAAAAAAAAAAAAAAAAGCAAGGGTTTTCATTTGGGGATGCCTTAAATTGATTTATGTATCCTCTGACTTAAACACTAATAGCATCACATTTATGTTCTTGTGTATTCATTTTGTGTAATATGGAATTATGGATTTTGCATGGAGTTTGCTTTTTACCTCTTAGAGGGCGGGGGGAGAGAGAGGGAGAAACAACGGCAAAGGGTGTCAGTATCCCAGGCAGACAAAAAGGAAAATTTCACTTGAAATTTAACTTCTACTGAAGATAATTGGAAATGTCAGTCTTCCTAGCTTTCTTGCAGATGTGTTATAGTCAGATGTACTACAGTCAGACTTTTCAGACTCACTGAAGTTATCAAATCACTTTAAAATCTCTTAGTGTATGCCACCTAGCATACACTAATATGCACTCATATGATCCTTGAAGCTCAAACCTTCAGAAAGTCTGCACATAAACCTTCACATTCAAATTTCCCTCTACTTAGGTGCATGTTGCTAACATCCCAAGCTAATTTTTTGACAGCTGACTTTCTCGTTTATCCTCTTCCGCAAAAAACACAGGACTCACTAAATGATGAATGGTACATTGCGGATATTAGCCGGCCGGAAGCAGAAGCCGCTCTTCGAAAAATAAACAAGGTACTCTAAATTGTTGGAGATGTTCAGTATCTCTGACATGGCCTAGTCAGATGTCCGTACAGTCATCCAGGAAGGCTGAAGGTACATAACATACTAAGGTTTTAGCCCCACTATAGATATGTAAAGTGGAGGTTTCAGCTAGCATACCTTTATCCACCTAAAAGTTAGGCATCCAGTCTAAACCAACCATGAAGGCTACTGTTTTCTATAGTCCAAGAGAACAAAATATGCACCTCCAGAGAACAGTTTCATCTCACCTACCTTGAGGGGGGTGACTTATTTCTTTGCACCAGGGAGGAATCTGTGTCAAAAAGCTCGGACTTAAAATCCAAGTTTTGGACAGCTTGAATTAGATGAGATCAATCATACCCTTTTCTAGGACATATTTACCAGCAAAATGAAGAAACTATTGAAGTGAAATGAAGTGAAATGAAGTAACCCATTGCTGTGAGAATACCAATATCTCTTTGTCCCACTCATGGTTAATCTGTGACTCTTCACAGCGCACGCAATGAGCTGAAGTTCACATGTACAGCATCTCAACCACTTGTACTGCAGTAGAGCCTATGAGTCCACCTCAGCTGCCTTTGAGAAAGGGTGACCTAATGGAAGACTTGAAAAACAGACCTGAAAGGAAGGAAAACAGTCTGTAATGCTTGTGGATAGAGATCATCACTGCTTCTACCAAAGGCTAGGGCTGTCTGTAAATAGATCAATCACACTGGAATCTTGAATGAATAGGAATGAAATTCCCTTACGGTAAAAGTAAAGCTAGTTTTGGCCTCTGATATCAAGATTTCACCCTCTCCTTTAATGAGATCTCTCCCTCATACAACACCCTTCCTTCCTTCCCCCAAATCTGCATTTGTATTGGACATGGAATGTTTTAAGTAGCAGACTGAAGGAGACAGCATTTCAAAAATGACCTATAAATTTTTCTCATTAATAATATAGTTCTTTTTAGTAGGGAGAAATTAAAAAGCAAATTTATGAAAGAAAAGATACTGAAAAGCATGAGTGGTCTACTTAAGATTCCTGTGCTGCGGCACTCGTGCCACAAGCGTCTTTCATTTGTCATCTTCCATTTTTTCATCTTTCAGGATGGAACTTTCTTGGTGAGAGACAGCTCAAGGAAAACTGCTACTCATCCATACGTACTGATGGTTTTATACAGAGATAAAGTATACAACATTCAGATTCGTTACCAGGAGCAAAATGACATATATTTGTTAGGAACCGGCTTAAAAGGAAAAGAGGTACTACATGTTTTTTCATAATACTTCTTTCTTCTTAAGGTATCTCCTGTCTCGTTCTCAAAATGTCAGGCTGCTTGACCTGGCAGCTGTTTTACTCCAGCAGAATTCTACTTATTGTCTTAGTGCTATTCCTGATGCGAATACACTATGGTATTGTTGAGAGAAAAATCAGATTCAGCTATTTATACTCAGGAAAAGAAGGGACAACCTTAGCATACAGCTATTAGAAATCAATATAAGTAGTTAGAGAATGTTCATTTACCACTAAGATACCAGATAAGGAAAATTCACAGCTGAGAGCAAATCCATATCTGCCAGCTCTACTGCTTTTATTCCAGATTGCAGGCTTACTCACTTGCACTAATACTACATTGGATTTATTGGTGTCAGACAGACAGACTGACACCACAGTCATCACAAGTAGTATAGTTCTGACTGAGTCAGAATTTTCTGAACTTCTGAGTCACCTTTTGAACTTTCAAGTACAGTCATTATGTCAAGCAGAACAACATTACATACTAAACAGGCCAAGTCTGCATATATTAATTACATAGCACATCCACAGTAGGTTCAACATCTCCTGCACATACTAGATTAACAGTGATGGAGCTGCATATTGCGGCGGGAATGAAAAAGGCTGGCCTAATGCTATGTACAGGACCTTACAAGAGTGCAAAATTAAAATTAGAGTTTGGAAAAAAACTGTTTCGGCTGCTGATTAATAATGATTCTGACATCTTCCCATTACCTTCTCATTTTTCCATCCCACAGGATTTTTCTTCTGTAGCAGATATCATTGATTACTTCCAAAGAACACCCCTTCTTCTAATTGATGGAAAAGACAGAGGTTCAAGAAACCAGTGCATGTTAAAATATGCTGCAGGACATATTTAAATGAGAGCCTAATGAAGGTCACGTACAGGAACAAAGTCTACTAAAGTCTGTAAGCCTCAGGATATTTCCTTCTTCAGTGACCTCAAGTCACGAAGAAACAATTAAAAATCCTTTTAATCTTAAGAAAAAAAGAACAATGCTCTTATTTTTAAAACGTGCTTTAAATGCAGCAAATCTGATCTTCCTACAACGTATTTATTACTGTCTGCTAATCATACACTGCATGAGAACTCCTTACGTGAGGAAGACTGCCTTCCAACATACATATAAGTTATTGAAACGATTTCCATGCTAAAATAGAGGACCCATGACATACCTATCAATACAGGTCTTTTCTTTCTTAGGAAGAAAATTTGTTAGCTCTTTTTCAGATCACAACTGCAGTAGCAATTACATTATGTAAAGTGATACACAATAGACCCAAATCTTGTCAAAGTTGAGCAGCAGACAAAGGCACCAAAAGCTCTATTTTTCACACTCTGCTTTTCAATAAATGTGGCCATGGGCAATTCTATCAAAAGACTAGGTCTCTGACTTGGCCCTAAAAACACCTACTTTTCAGTGATACAAACACCCTGGATATTTAGCTGGCTGTCAAGAACTGTGTCTGTGTTATTCATCTATTAAACAGTCTCTGCTCACTCTTTTTTTTGGAAAAACAGACTATACAGAGGTACCATCTCCTATCTGCCATACCGTTTGCGAGTCACTGATGGCATGGTCCTATCCCTCAAAATGGAAGTATGTATCTCCTAGGATCCTTCATCCTCATTCAGAAAAAAGCTTTTCTTCCTTACCATAGGCTTTCCTTTAGCTGTCTCTTCCTCTCTAAATTAAGTAATCACTGTTTCACAAGAGACACATCACCCAGATCATCATCATGTGATTCTTAATTGGCAGACCACAGCCAAATCTCTTAGTAAGCAAGCACATACCACCAGGATAAGCTGAGTTCCTCTTACAAAATTGCTTTCTGTTCTTACTGTATTTTTTCAAGAAAAACAGTAACATTCTCAGTTCTAAAATATAAGCTGCACCAAAACACTACCGAAGAATCAGTACATCAAGAGTTTTTCCCAGTCCTCTGTAAGTGGGACTTATCCAATTGTTTTCCTAGGTTTTCTACTGACTTTTGTTTTCTGATAAAGACCTTAGCTTGAGACATACCTTGGACTTTGTCACACTTCTTTTCCTTAAAGTTATTTTGTGTATCACTTGAAATATCTGAACCACAATTCAAGGCAGGATAATATCTTCAGTGCAATTTGTATAGCTTCTCAGATAAGATCATCAGATTTCATAAACAATTCTACAACTGTAAATATTTTTATTTTGTAAATGTTATCTTCACTTCCAATATATTTTGCTAGAAACTGGATTCAGAGCTAAAGAACTTCATTTTCCTGTAGCTATGCGCCCCCAACCACGAAAGATGAAAAATAATGTTGAACAAAAATCTTCAACTGACAAGATCGATTTCTAGCACTATATGTATATTTTTAAATTTGCTATTAATCTTGAGAAGGAAGAGTCAGGAGTTATGTACTATGTTTATCCCAAAATGCTAAAATTTAAGAACAAACACCTCATATTACCACTGATTATGTGAGCTGCTGGTTTGTAATACTATTCTATAACATCATCTTGAAAATTCTGACAACCTAGAAATGCCTTTTAACAAATTGGCTCTTACTTGTTTTAAATCATCTTGTTATGAAAGAGCAACAAAGTACAAACCAGCATAACAGATTATAACACCACGTATTTTTTTTCAGTAGAGTAAATATGGATTTGATTATTCAGAAAAATATATTTTGTCTGAAGAAAAATATATCTCAACATTCAAACAATTCCACAAGTACAGTGTGTTTGAATATTAACTGTAATAAAATATATAAAAATGTTGGCTACCAAATTTGGGCCAGTAGGAGAGTGTTTAAACCATCAACTTTCACTTTTTTTTTTGAGCTAGAAGTTCACTACAGAAACTAGAATCAAAGTGCTTTTTGGTTTTCCAGAAGTTACTTGCTATTTAGCATCCTTCCACAGTAAAATTTTTAGAGTGCAGAAGGACGATCAAATCACAAGATCCAGTTTCTCTTTTATTGATCTTTTCTTATCCCATTTCTCCTAGCAGAAGTAAGATAGGCGATAGCAATGTCCTGAAATAATTTAAAATCTTCTGTTAGTGTTCCGATACGTCCTTGAAAGGAGAAAACTACACGTGAAAAAAATTCATGCCCAAATTCCTGTTCTTTTCGGTTGATGATGTTACTCTTCTCAGCCTAATAGGTCTAATTTGGGGAATTTGGGTTAAAAAGATCTTAAAATCAGTAAGATAATTTATTTTTTGTTCTACATTTCCAGTTTAAAACAACAATATTCTAAGCGAGGAAAACCATACTATCCTTTAACAGTTCAAAGTGGAGGACTATTAATGGAAGGTAATGCATGAAAATGAATAAATTACTTAATTCTTCAAACTCCAAGGTTTTTTTCGTCAGCTTCTCTCAAATCTTTGGCCTTCAAGGGATGGCTGAAATTCAAAATAAGGTCACAGAGCAGTAGTTGGCTTTCCACTGTAAGATAAAGGGCAAACTATTGTCATGGCATTTATTGAATGGCAGATACTAAGTGAAAGGCAATTTAATGTAGCACTTTCATGTGTTTATCCCTCAACTCTTTCATAAACCAAAAGGATCATTTTGGCTTGGCTTTACTCCAATTTACTCCAAGGCAGTTAAATAAAGTTTTGCATTAGGGTATTAGTAATATTTCTATTAGGAGACTATTATGTCCCTGCAAAGGAATTACTTTGATTATCTAACAGGTTTTCTCCATATTTAGCTAACATGATTTCATATTTATGTAAATGTTGTTTCATTCATTTTTCAAAATGAAAGAGCAAATTTATTGTTTCATTACATTAAAAAAAAAGCTCTGTGACAAAGACATGAGCCATTCACAACTGCACATTCTTCTAAACAACGCCTTAACATCTTTCAGTTTAACTGTGTGATGACTTCAGAATTACCGTTCAGTTTCTTCAGCTCACTGGACATTTTATCAACACTTCTAATCGCAGCTTCAAGGTTAAACTGCTGATCAGGATCATCAGTTTTCAACATCTGTATAAAATATAACCAAAATATAACTGATACTGTACATGTGATTCTTAAAACTCAGTAACACAGATCAGCATCTTTATGAAAATTTTTCTTTGATTACCTAAAATATTATTTTAGCTAAAACTTCCTCCCTTCCCTTTTCAAATTATCCATTTAGATATGGCAAATACTAAACACCTAGGTTTCAGTCTTGCTTTCTATTCCACATGAATTTTTTCCTTTTTTTAAACTAAGAACTGTAATAAAATGAATCATATCTAAAATTTTCTCTCCTCACCAGCATTTTTTTTTCATTTTTGTTTTCCACCCTGTTTTTTCCTAGAAAACATATAGTGAGTTAATCTTCAGGTCTTGGTTAGTCAGCCACAAGATGGAGCTATTGTAAAGTTAACATGCATAAAACAAATTAATGTCACTACTGGAGACCATATTTTTTCCCCCTTAACATTTAATTAAAGGGAAAAAAAAATCTGCTGAAAATGAAGACCATTAGCAATTTTTAAATTTACACTATATTCTTCAAATAGCTCCACTTTTTAAGAATTTTAAGAAAACATTAATAAAATGTTATATATTGTCTTTTTACTGACAAGTTACCAGCCCTCTATTTATCATCCAGAAATTCTAAAAAAGTTATCTGGAAAAAATCTGAGTAATTTCATAAGCTATTCGTAAATGATGCTCATTATGTAGACCACCTGCATGCATTATAGAGTATAACAATAAAATTGAACATGCATTTAATGTAGAGTTTTTGTCCAAGTCTCTCTTTCCTTCAGATACTGCCTTGTCATTAAGGTCATCAGCCATGGTCAAAGATCCTAAAAGCACAAAAACCAAATAATTTCCACAGTGGAGTATAACAGCCTCAGATATATAATAACATTTGACTAAAAACAGAGATTACATTTTATTTTCATTAGTGTTATCTGAAGATGGGGGCATTAGAACAGATGTATTACTTTTGTGAAGAAGTCTTATTTTTTGTTTAAATCTTGAATACAATTTCTTTCTTTTCCTTCTTTCCTTTTAAGGACAACGTTTCAAAAAATTTTTAGGAGTTGAACACGGGGCCAATAATAGCGAATGGCTGTGTTTATCGTAGCTATGAAGAATTCCTCAGACAAAATTCTCCAATACTAACTGTCTTTGACTTAAAGTTTTATCAGAATCTAAAAAGGAATTGCATAATCATTTATTATCATCAATTTATGGCAGAAGAATCTAAAGCACACACAAAAAAAAGATGTCAAGTGTCTGCTAGTCAGTAACAGAGCTGAAATTAAAAAGCAGATCCCTGGACTCTTATTTTTCTTCTCCTGCTCTCTCCTCTCTTTTCTCTGTACACATTAGAAAACCCTCAGACAAGTTTAAGCTTATGACATCAGTGGAAAGTTACTTCAACACTGAGAGAGAGAGGGGGAAAAAAAAAAAAAAAGAGTATATTTCATCCTGATACTGCGTGTGTTCAGAGGGGATGCAACGAAAGCAAAGGCCCCTGCCTCAGCTCAAAGGGCAGCCAGAAGCGGGTGCACCTCCATCCGCCCCCATCGAAGCGGCCTGCCGCGAGCGCACGGCCCTTTGCAGGGCTGGCAGAGGGCTCCCCACGCTGAGCAACGCGTCCGACGTAGCTAACGGCAAACCTCGCCACGCACCAGACGCCCCGCTGCTGTGAAGCAAGCTGGCCTGTCCCTGAGGAAGCCTTAGGCTGGCCAGCCCGGGAGCCCTGCAGGCG